AGGGAATGTCTGTCACAAGCCTGTCACGATTAAGCATGTTTGCAGTGCTCAGAATGAATCTAGAATTGTTTGCTGTGAATTGATTATATCTATCGCAGTGCCTAGCATTAAGGATTGTCATTTTCTGGAATCCATAGAGTGGAATTGTAATCAGTGATTTGAGTGAATAAAGCATTGAAAAGGGCAGAAGCGCATGAACATTCTTTATTTCTCCCCCTCGACTGCCGTAAGTCGCACTTTTTGCCCATTGCAACACTTGGTTACACACAAATCTTTTAAAATTTACCCTTTATTTATATAGATCTTTTTGTCACTTAATTAGACCCTCTGTTGTTTACTTAGATGCATTATAACTTCGCCACATGAAGACTTTCTTACCTAGAAACATTTTTTATATTTAGAATCTTTAAACTTTTTTCCTATCATTTGACCCCCTTTTTAAAATTTACACTCTGAAGCAACCCTTGTAAATTTCTGAATTTAGACAAATTACTCTATTTGAAACCTGCAGGAGAAATACTTTATGATATTTACAGTACTCTATTTGAAACGCAGTTATAGAATTATACCTTTTGGGACATTTAACTCTTAATAACCATGTTTTTAGTAATGACACAGAGCAATTTTTACCAATTTATGAAAACACCAGTAATGTTTAAGTATGTTAATTTATAGAATTGAAGGAGTTAAGAATACTTGATGTTATTTAACAGTTAGTGCTTTCATTCTGTAAACCAATTAGATATCTCTAACAAACACATCCATGATCAATCTCACAAATGTCAAATCTAATTTACTTATTTCTAAAACCAAGACATCAGACAAATGTATTGAATAGCATCAGCCATCTCTTTCTTGATGAAGAAAAATCCTAGAAAAAAATGGATATTAGACATTTTATAGACATTAACATTTTATTAATTGTTTGACCACGTGAACCAAAGATATTTGGATCACTTGTACATCTTTAGGCTTTACAATCAAGCACTTTACACACCGTCAGGGTGTTAGGGTCTGGCGAAACGTTGGAGGGAGAGACCACCCAAGAGACTGACTCCATGCAATTGGCAAAAGGGGATTTATTGGGGATCCATTCCAGCGTGCTGGGACTCTGTGCTCACTCAAGAAGGGAGAGCAGCCCAGAGCAGAGTTCAAGAGGAGCTTAAGTACACTTTTTGGAGAGGGTGGGGGGCTTTGCATACATCAGAACAAATCATCATGAGGCGCGGGAAAATTGAACAACAACCCTGAGTCAGGATTAGTGCATACATTGGCGGGAACAATCAGGTAGGAGTGATTGGTGCTCCTAGGTGGGGTACACATTCAAACTGATTGGTTTAGGTCCTGCAATGCCTACGTGCCAAGCAACTCGGAACCCTTAGCTATTAAACAACCAGAAAGTCAGTGGAAATATTTACTGGGCAGTTCCAGCATTGTCCTAACAACTACAGGGAGTACAGGTTTTGGGGGTAGCAGAGGGACTCTAACAATACCTAGTCTTTTACTTTTTAACCCAATCCCTGCACTTTGGAAACTTTAGGATGCCTGGTCTTTTACACTTTAACTCAGGCTCTGCGGCTTAGAAATTTTACCTTTACAAGAGGAGAGCCCCTGATATACTTCTAAAGATTTACAATTAGGCACTAGGAACCGACTCAAATGGAAAGAATAAATGAGGTACCTCCCAACATATGCAGATCTGTCCTCCTTTAAAGCCACTGGATTACAGATGTGAGTCATATCAGAGCTTCTATAGGTGGGCTCCAGTTGGTCACTACAGGAGGTCCAGACCCTCACAAAGCAGAGAGCTCCCACAACTAGAGAGGGGAGGGCGCCTCTCTGCGTCAGAGGATCTGGGACACCTGTGTGCCAGAGAGCCACAGCCTTCACTGCAGTGATCATCTTGCTGGGGCCTCCAAAATGTTATGGTGAGATTAGGATAAATCACCAAGTCAATCTTAAAGCAGGAGACAGAACCATCTTTATTCACCAGCTGGAGGGCCAAGGAGCGGACTGCAAGTCTATACCCTTCAACTCCCTGCAAGGCTGAGAGCGCACCTTTATAGTCCCAAATCACATTAATCATAAGTGGCTGTTGCTATGATTCAAAGCCATAAACAAACATCATGAGACCTAAAATCAGAAGCAGAAGGTGAAGGGAGTCAAAACGACCTCAGTTGGGTTCACGTTAAAGAATGGTTACTAGGGCTGGGGATGTGGCTCAAGCGGTAGCACGCTCGCCTGGCATGCGTGCTGCCCGGGTTCGATCCTCAGCACCACATACCAACAAAGATATTGTGTCCGCCGAGAACTAAAAAATAAATATTAAAAATTCTCTCTCTATCTCTCTCTCTCTCCTCTCTCACTCTCTCTTTAAAAAAAAAAAAAAAAAGAATGGTTACTAACATCTAGACAACCATTCTCTGACAGGGTACACTGTCCAAGAAAAATGGGAACCAAAAAGAGAACAATTTTGCATTGTGTGAGAACAGAAACATTTGAGTTTCTAAGCAGGGTGTGCTAAGCAGCATCAGGATGGCAGAGGTGGAGTTTTCTCATGGGAGAAGCATTTCTTACATGACATGGGGTCTCAGGGTAAAATGGAGTCTGTTTGGTCATTGCTCATATGGCTTAGCCCATAACATCACTTAGTTGCTTAGAATCTTGCTAATTTGCTGAGACTTGAATGTGTGATTCTCCTGCCTCAGTCTCCAAGATTACAGGTATGTGCCATTGCCCCTGCTTCAACTTTCACTTTGGTACCAGGGATTGAACTCAGGGATGCTTAACCACTGAGCCACATCCCCAGCGCTTTTTGTTTGTTTCTTTGTTTTGAGAGGCAGGGTTTCTTTGGGCCTAGCTAACTTGCCAATGCTGGCTTTGAATTAGCGATTCTCCTTGCCTCGGCCTCTTGAGCGGCTAAGATTAC